ATGATTTTAGCTACATTTTTCAATGGAATTTTCTAAAAATCCATACTAGAAATTCTTTCTAAGCACTTTTCTCCCTGGAAGAGAAATGTCTCTACAGGGTGAGATAAAAAAAACTGCAACAAAGTCAAAAGCCATAATTTTTAAATTTTTTAAATTTTATTGAATGAAAGCAAAAAATGTCGGAAATAGCATCAAATTTTAGAATAAGTTTAGATTTGTTCGAATTGGTCACCTTTGTCACAAACAGCCAATGAAACCGTCACACACTGCTCGAATGTTGCTCGGCGGTATTTTGGCCCATTCCCGGCGAAGCGCTTGCTTGAGGTGATCGACACTTTAATATTTTTTGGGTGCCAATCTTGCTTTTCAAAATACTCAAGACACAATAGTCCAACGAATTGGTATCCGGGGATTTTGGTGGCCATTTTGGTACGCTGGAAATGAAGCGAGTAACCTCATTTTGTAACCATTCTTGGGTGGCGCGTGCTGAGTCCTGTTGGAATGTCCAGGGTCAGCGGGGAAAATTTTTGCGTGCCCAAGGCTTAAATACACCCTCCAGAATATTTTCGCGATAATATTCGGTATTTATTCTGATACCACGGTCGATTAATACGATTGGAGAGCGACCAGCGGCTGTTATGGCGGCCCACACCATTACCATGGCCGGCGCTTGAGTTCTGGTGTCCAACAGAAGGTGCACATTTTCAGCTGACCTCTTTGGCAAGTAAACACGATCATTTTGTTTCGGAGAAAAGCAAATTCGTCAGTTCACCACTTTGAGCCAAGCGAAGCAACTCTTTAGCTCTTTTGATACCATTTTCTTTCTGTGGCGGTGTAAGTTCTTGCACTTTTTGGAATTTCAATGGCTTTACCCCGAGCTCATTTTTCAATATTTGCCGAATGGAATATTGCGATATGTTCAGCTCAAGAGCCTTTTTTCGGCCACTGCTGCGAAGTTTTCGATCAAGCCGCTTCTTAATTTTTTGAACCATCCACTTCCTTGACGTCGGGTTACACTACCAGTATCAAGGTATCACGGAGTTATGGTACGAGGCACAATAGATTTATACACATTCAAATGCTGGAGTGCTCTAACCATAGCCACTTGTGGTTTTCCAGCCCAATTACAAAGAAATCACACTATCACGCTTGAATTCCATGACGAATAACTTTTTTTCTGGAAAATTCTCACCAAAATGCTTTTGTACGCTTGTAAACAATATAATGAGCTGTTTCTGGAATAATTTTAACCGCTGTCGGACGAGTGATTAGAATTGACACCAGTCTTAAGTTCGTTGTTGTTTTTTCATTTCACCCTGTATATATTCTAATTTTTGAACTCTTTTGTTACAAATTAAACGAATAAAGATGATTGTCCAAACATTGTGAAAGTGCATACCGAAAAAATCGCCATTAATTAAAAAAGTCAAAAAATAGGAGTATGGAACATTTTAGCTTGACACCGACTAACAAAATTTTTATTTCAAAATAGGTAGTTATTTGAAGGTTCGTAGAATTTTGGATATATAATATTGAAATGTATAAACTCTTACAATCTCATGATCTGCTTCAGAGGAAAAATTGAATAGCGTTAAAGTCCGCATTTATGGGAACTGCATTACGTGTCGGTGCACTAGAATCGTTAATTACGGATTTTTGGCACGTATCCCCAATGAGAATTATAACAGATTTACAATATTGCAATAAAGAAGATATGACACTCAATTGTGGTGTGCATGCATATTCACACACACACACGCGCACACTCACATATGCAAATATGAATGCCTATAAATTTTACAGGCAGACAGACAGACAAATATCACTTACTATAACAGCAAAAAGGCATCAACAACAATTAGCATACGAGTATTAATTTGTACTGCGATTTTTTTTTGTTTTGTTTTTTGCACTCGTCTTCGCCTTGTGTTTGGAGGATGGGCGAAGAGGAAAGAAGATGAAATATTAATTAACTTTAAAATTACGTTGTTAAGAATTAAATTATGAGTTTGGTTTTTTTTCTGCTGCTGCTTCTGCTACTGCTATGGCTCCGGTTGTCCTCTCCAATTATAAATGGTCAGTGGCAGGCAGGCAGCCAGCCAGACGGACGGACGCATAGCCAATCAAAATTGAGTATCTGCATAAAAACCGCAAAAAGTACAGTAGTTGTTGGCTATGTGCAATAATGTTGCGAGTTTAAAGTGGACAAGTATGGGAGCTTTAAATAAATTTATATAACCATAACAGATTAAGAAGGCAATAAAGCTACAAAAGAACTTTAACAATTAAAAAAGCTGTAACCATTTTGAACGACTTTAACAATTAAAAAAATAAAATCCGTTAAAATTCTGTTAAAATCGTAAAAATACCGAATGTAGCCGTTATATTAGGGCCTATACGACGACGTGGACCGGCAGCTTTTGTCATAAACCATTACAATATTCAAATGCGAAACTTGAATGAAAAAATTCGGTGAATAATTACGCTAAAATCATCAAAATACCGGGAGGTGCCGTTACATGGGGATATACGAAGACGTGGACCTGTTCAGACAATTTTTTTTACCCAATTTGAAACATTTCCGGTGAATAATGTCGCTTAAATCACCAAAATACCGAAAAAAAAATACGGAGGTACCATTATATGGGGGATATACGAAAACGTGGACCTATATCACTCATTTTCAATACCAAAAGTCCTGCAGACGTAATACACATTTTAGTAAAATTTTATCAACCTACTTCATTTCTTTCGAAAACTAGAGTGATCTCCACAGAAGGACAGACGGACAGACATCGCTAAATTGACATAGAATTTTATGCTGATCGAGAATATATATACTTTGTGGGGTCTAAAATGTATATATCAAGGTGGAGGGTATAAAAATTCTTGAAGGTGTTCTGGCCGTAGAAGGTCTTCTAGCCAAAAAAGAGCTTCAGAAGGTCTTCTATTCATAGAAGATCTTCAGACGGTCTTCTGGTCATAGAAGAGCTTCAGGAGGTCTTCTGGTCATAGAAAAGCTTCAGGAGGTCTTCCAGCCATAGAAGAGCTTCGGAGGGTCTTCTAGCTATAGAAGAGCTTCAAAGGGTCCTTTAGCCATAGAAGAGCTCCAGAAGAGCTTCTTGCTGTATAAGAACTTCTAAAGGTCTCTTCGCTATAGAAGAACTTCAGACGGACTTCTGGCAATAGAAGAGCTTCTGAAGGTCTTCTAGCCATAGGAGAGCTTCAGAGGGTCTTCTATCCATAGAAGAGCTTCAGAAGGTCTTCTAGCCATAGGTGAGCTTTAGAGGGTCTTCTATCCATAGCAGAGCTTCAGAAGGTCTTCTATCCATAGGAGAGCTTCAGAAGGTCTTCCTGTCAGAGGAGCTTCAGGAGGTCTTCCTGTCATAGAGGAGCTTCAGGAGGTCTTCTAGTCATAGAAGAGCTTCAGAAGGTCTTCTAGCCATAGAAGAGCTTCAGAAGGTCTTCTAGCCATAGAAGAGCTTCAGAAGGTCTTCTAGCCATAGAAGAGCTTCAGAAGGTCTTCTAGCCATAGAAGAGAACTTCAGAAGGTCTTCTAGCCATAGAAGAGAACTTCAGAAGGTCTTCTGGCCATAGAAGAGCTTTAGAAGGTCTTCTGGCTATAGAAGAGCTTCAGAAGGTCTTCTATCTATAGAAGAGCTTCAGAAGGTCTTCTAGCTATAGAAGAGCTTCAGAAGGTCTTCTAGCTATAGAAGAGCTTCAGAAGGTCTTCTAGCTATAGAGGAGCTTCAGAAGGTCTTCTAGCCATAGAAGAACTTCAGAAGGTCTTCTGGCTATAGAAGAGCTTCAGAAGGTCTTCTAGCTATAGAAGAGCTTCAGAAGGTCCTCTAGCCATAGAAGAGCTCCAGAAGGTCTTCTATCCATAGAAGAGCTCCAGAAGGTCTTCTATACATAGAAGAGCTCCAGAAGGTCTTCTACCCATAGAAGAGCTCCAGAAGGTCTTCTACCCATAGAAGAGCTCCAGAAGGTCTTCTATCCATAGAAGAGCTCCAGAAGGTTTTCTAGCCATAGAAGAGCTTCAGAAGGTCTTCTAGCCATAGAAGAGCTTCAGAAGGTCTTCTAGCCGTAGAAGAGCTTCCTAAGGTCTCTTGGCTATAGGAGAACTTCAGAAGGTTTTCTGGCCATAGAAGAGTTTCTGAAAGTCTTCTAGCCGTAGGAGAGCTTCAGAAGGTCTTCTAGCCAGGTCTGAAGGTCTGATTGTCTTACCATGATGGTTTGGAAATATATTTTCTGATAACAATTCATAATATTAGGTCCTCTTGTGGGTATTTTGAACACATTTATAAATATTTTGAAACACCACCATCAAAATGGTATGACGTTTATTAAAGCAATTTATAACTGTTTTGCACTTAACCGGACAATACTGTACTTTGCAAAATTTGGCATTCACTTTGTTTGAATTTTGCTATGTTTTTTTTCTCTTCTCAGTCACAATTCCTTAATTCTTTTCATTTTTAAGTTAATTATATTTATTTTAATATGATTACGATATCATGGCATAAGGAGCTTCCTTCCTTATATTATTCTTCTTTGCATTTTCGCTAAGCGGTAGCTATTTCGCACAGAACAGAACAGATCAAAACAAAACCGAACGATTACGTAGTTCAAACGAAAAGGCGAGCAATATTGTTCTCGGTTCGATGGTCCGCAATTGGAAATGCAAAACAAGTTGAAAGCGTTTTAGCAGCGTTTGGATTAGAAGCAACAACAACACACATTTGTCGTTTTACTAGCTGTGAGTTCACACAGAGAGCAAAAATTTATTAACCAAAAGTAAGAAATGTTGTTTTTGCATTTTGTGTACAAACAAAACAAAATAGCTACAACAACAATAACAATTACACACAAAAAATGGCAAACAAATGAGCACAAAAGACAAGCGCAAAATATTCACACACCACCGTTTAACTACACATTCTGCTCAAGGCCCGCCGCCCCGTCCCCCCAACCAGAGACGACAAAAAAAACAAACATACCGTCACAAAATACCCTATCCCATGTTAGTGACCAGCATTTGCGGCGTTCTTTTCACTCACGACGTTAGAGGAGGGCTCACACACGACGAACTCAAATTTCAAAGATATGACCGAAACCGTAACACGGGAGGTTCTTGGAAAAACGATTTTCGTTTAGAGAAGGAAACGCGTTAGCCGCTAAATGTTAACAACGTTTTTCTGTTGCTACCGCCGTTTTTCCTTTCCGCTAATGCCGTTTATGTTTTTATTTGTTTTTTTCCTTTTGTTTCGATTTGCGTTTCTTTGGGAGACTATCGTTCTTCGGCCTCAAACGTCTAAATCTACACTGATCAGTTGGAGCATTCGTTCGATTCAGTTTGACATTCGTGTTGTTTTTGTTGGAGCACCACCACGTAGGTATCTGATAAGAGTCGAAGTTCTCTTCTCCCAATTTTGTATCTCAAAGATTGCAAAACTCCACAATAGTGTTCGTATTGAGGTATGGGGCATGGGTACTCTTACTCGCTGTTGGCCTCCCATGAACACGAATAGCTGTGGAGACTTTAGCCGATAGCATTTCGTTGTTGTTATTCTGCTAATGCCGTGATTTAAATGTGTTAACTGACCTTTTGCCTTAGGGTTTCCAAGTAAAGAAGAAGCTTCTGAATAATTACAAAGAGCTTCAGAAAAGCTTTAAAAGAACTTCAGAAGGTCTTTTCATATCAACAAAAGAGCTTTAGAAGGTCTTCAGGAGGTCTTCTAGCCATAGAAGAGGTTCAAAAGGTCTTCTAAAATAGAAGAAGCTATAGAAGAACTTCAGAAGGTCTTCTAGCTATAGAAGAGCTTAAGGTCTTCTAGCCATAGAAGAGCTTCAGAACGTCACTTAGCCATAGAAGAGTTTCAGAAGGTCTTCTACCTACAGAAGAGCTTCAGAAGGTCTTCTAGCTATAGAAGAGCTTCAAAAGGCCTTCTAGCTATAGAAGAGCTTCAGAAGGCCTTCTAGCTATAGAAGAGCTTCAGAAGGTCTTCCAGCCATAGAAGAGCTTCAGAAGGTCTTCCAGCCATAGAAGAGCTTCAGAAGGTCTTCTAGCTATAGAAGAGCTTTAGAAGGTATTCTAGCTATAGAAGAGCTTCAAAAAGTCTTCTAGTTTTAAAAGTTCTTCTTTTCATAAAAGAGCTTTAGAAAGTCATTTAACCGTAGCAGAACTTCTAGCCATGGATAATCTCTTAACAGTGTTTTAGTCGGTAAGGCTTCAAAGGTTTTCTAGTTATAGCTTTATAAGGCCCTAAGTCGATAAAAAAAACTTCTTCAGGTTTTCTACGAATTATGCTAATTTGTTTTCCAGACATGGCAACTCTATGATCCCCCCCATTGTATGGCTCTCTGTTAAACTCTCTCAATCAATTTGCATTGGAGACATTGTCGCATTGTGTGAGCTCTTAATGGTATCCCCACTCTTATCTCCTCAACCATTGAGTTCGTTGGTTGAAAAAAAGAGTAAATTGTGATTCTGATGTCGTTGCTGTTGTTGTTGCATTTTTCGATTTGTTGAAATTATTTACTGCCTCACATTGTTTACATATCACATTTTTGTTTAACTGGAGACGAGTCTGTGGTCCCAAAGTTCAGCGCGCACACACAACTCCAAGTTAGGATGAATGGTTAAGTGATGTGATGGGACAGTGGGATGGCGGGCCATTGCTCTGTTCAAGAGACTTTGTTGTGGTTTTTGATTGTTCCAAAAACTAAGAGGTCTTTCTTTTCAGTCACTTTATTTCAATTGTTGGTAGGCTGTGTTTACACGGATCATTGATGGAGGCAGGGAGAAAACAAAAACAAAAAGAAAGAAAGAATAAAAGAATGTATGAATGAATGAACGAATGAGTGGTTTGATCTGATGCATGGATGTCTGACCGTCTGCCTGCCTGAATGGATGGTTGAATTGGAAAGATTTGTTTTTTTTGTTGTTGTTGTAAGATTTTAAAGTGTGAATGTTTAATTAATGTTAATTTAATCAGAAATGAAGATACATATTTCAACGTGGTTTTTCGGGGTCAATAGGTGTAATTTTTTTAGTTTGTAGAAGGAAAGGGAATATTAAGTTGTTACTAAGGGATAAATTGTTTTTGCTGTTTTTTATAAAACTTCTTTATTTTTCGAATAATTAAGATTAGTCCGAATATTCATCTGTTCGCAAGTCCGCTAGTAAAAAATATGATTAAGTGCGCCCTATAAAAGATAGAGCCTTGGAATTTTGCGCAGGTAATGATATCATACCTAGAATGTTTGGTATTGAGTATGGTGTCATACAGCACACGTAACAATGAATTTATTGAGAAGCGAGTTCGGCGAATATTTTATTTCACTTTCGGGACCGGTCAATTGGCAGGTAGATCATGCTATTTAACGCCCTTAGACAATATTTCAGGGGCTATGTTAAACCTCATGTCTATAGAGACGAGTCTTTATACCCTCAGCTATATGGCTAGAGAGCGTATTTATCATTTGATACGGCCAAAACGTGATTAATCGAATAAGTGTTTTAGACCCTTAGTCTCTTTGGACCAAATCCGTTTAAAGACATTTGGAGTCGATCTAGCAATGTCCGTCTGTTTGTCTGGTGCACACGATAACTCTCGTAGGGAGTATCCGATTTGGTCCAAACTTGGTACATCGTAATATTATTATCAGACTTAGTTTAAATTCGGATATAGGCAATATCGGTAGACTCCTTCTGGTACCTCCCCCCCAAAACGTCGAAATTTTCAAAATAAATATTTTTTGCACAGAAAGAGAAACGATAATCCGACTTTGCTCCAACTTTGCAAATACAAATATTTGCATCAGAGCTGGACATGGACAATATCGGTCCACTCTTCTGGCACCACCCCCACCAAGGGTCAAAATGTTGAATACCCATGAAGCCCATAAAACGCGAAATTAACATCCGATTCCATTCAGACTTGGTACATATCATTATTTTAACCAACACTAGATCTGTTATAAAAACCGTAGAGATCGGACCAATCCTTTTGGTACCTCCCCCACAAAGGGTCAAAGCTTTGAATAAGCAAAACGATTATAAAATCCGAAATAAGCATCAAATTCACTTCAAATTGCATACATCCCATTATTTCTACCAACACAAGATATGCTGCGAAGATGGGATACATCGGTGCACTCCATCTGGTAACTCCCCCACAAAGGGTCAACATTTTTAATATCCATGAAGCCCACAATACGCGAAATCAACATCCGATTCCATTCAGACTTGGTACATATCATTATTTTAACCAACACTAGATCTGTTATAAAGACCGTAGAGATCGAACCATTCCTTCTGGCACCTCTCCCACAAAGTGTCAAAGTTTTGAATAATCAAAGGGATCGTAAAATCCGAAATAAGCTTCAGCTTCTCTTCAAATTGCACACATCGCAATATTTTTAATAATCCAAGGTCTGGCATGAAGATGGGATATATCGGCGCACTCCTTCTGGTACCTCCCCTACAAAGGGTCAACATTTTGAATATTCATGAAGCTCATAAAACGCGTAAATAACATGCGATTCCATTCAGACTTGGTATATCTCAATATTTCCATCAACACTAGATCTGCTAAAAAATATGGTAGAGATCGGACCATTTCTCCTTGAAGATAGGCTATATCGATCCACGATATCGCATAGCCCCAATATAACGGTACTCTCGATATTAAGTATTTTGATGATTTTAGCCACATTTTTCGATGGCATTGTCTGAATTTGTGCACAAGAAGTTCTCTGTGAGTACTTTATATAATTTTCAATATAAGTCCACGATACCGCATTGTACCCATACAACGATGCCCCCCTATATTCGATATTTCGATGATTTTAGCCAAATTTGACAATGGAATGGCCTGAAAATCCGTACAGGGAGTTCCCAATATATCCTATCTTCACAGCACATCTTCTGGTAGAAATAATGGGATGTGTGAAATTTGAAGTGAACTGGACGCTTATTTCGGATTTTATAATCGTTTTGGTTATTCAAAATTTTGAACCTTTTTGGGAAAGAGAATTGTCTATATGGGTCTACGTTTTAGTATAGCACCCATTTTTGGTATTTCCAGGATATTCGAGACGTTATTCACCGGAATTGTGTAAAATTTCGTATTTGAGGTTCGTAATGGGTACTACAACCTATGACGGAACACTGTCTTTGCAGGTCTACTTCTTAGTATAGGCCCCATACAACGGTACCTCCCTTTATTCCGTATTTTGATGATATAAGGGACATCATTCACCGGAATTTTGTCAAATTTCGTAATTAAAGTTCGGAATTGTTACTACTGCATATGACAAAAAATTACTTATCCGAGACCACGTCTTCGTATAGACCCCATATAAAGGTTTTCATTTGAGCGATATTTTTCGATTTTTTTTTAATTTTCAAGTTCCTTCCGAATGGTGGAGGGTATAAAAAGTTCAGCTCGACCGAACTCAGCTGTTTTTTTTTTTTTTTTTTTTTTGAAAAAAAAATACAAAAATGTCACCTTTATTGAACACAATTCTTTTTTTTTTGTTCAAATTCAGATTACGGTGTGTATTCTATACCAAGTTTTGGGAAGCGAATTCCATTTCGTGGCTTGATTTAAAAAAAACATGCAAACATACAAGAAATACTACATACTTTTGTTAAATATACTCACAAAGGTACACATTACTCTAAGCCATCACAACTTTCTTGCAATCCAACCACATCATTCAACCATCTATTTCATTTTGTTGCCCTTTTAAATGCTTCACAGCATATGCACCAAGAGTCCAGCTAGACACTTGAGAGATGGATATCTGATGACATGAGAAACTTTAGCGGGAAGGTGTTGAAACTAAGCCTACCATAAACTTTCAAAAAACCTCAGCAAAGGAATAAAAACACAAACACATTGTTTCTTATACTTTTTTAATTTCTCTTAAAAAATATTTTATTTTCTTTCATTACAAAATACTGTACAACTTATATACCTACTTTCGACGCTCTATGTATAATAGTTTACTATTCATTTATTTCATTCTTTCGTTCATTTCTATGTCTACGACTGACTACGTTTTGTTTGTGGTCAGAGAAATTCAACGAACCACAATTACAAATCTCAGATTACAAATTATAACAGGAAAAAGAAAAACAAACAAAAAAATAGAATAAAAAAATATATTTATAAAAATGTATGGGTGTGTAGGTATGTGTGTGATGTGTGTTTTGTTGATTATGGCAATATCAAAGAGAATGCAAAGAGACCCATAGAAGAAAAGAAATTAAAGAGTATTTTACCGTTATCAGTGCTTTCTGTGTCATGAGTTTTGTGAAATGATATTTGTTTACTTTTTTATTGCATACCTTAGGGGATTAAATTACAATACATATCTTATTTCTAAAACAATGAAGAGAATGACTTATAAAATGCTTTAGCGAATTTGCGCATAGCTAGTAATATTATATTTACAAATAGAAATAGTTAAAAAACTAGGTTTTACAAATGCTTTTCTTTCTTTTTTTCTTTGTTATTAACAAAAGAGGCAAATGAAATGAGAGGAGAAAAATAAAAACAAAATCGTTTGACATTTTATGCAAAAAAATAATAATACCAAAAACAAAATAATTATAACTTATTTAAATTATGGGGTGGTGTTTGGGGGTGGGATGGGTTTTGAAAAAAAAAAAAAAAATAATAAAAATAATAGCAATGTTTTTTTTCCACTACAAACTAAATTTTTTCGTTTTACATTTAGGTTTTAAATAAGACTTACAAATTAGAAAATTGGTTAAAATCACAAGCCTGTTTTTATGTTTTTAATTTCAGAAAATAAAAATATATATTTTATAATAATTGCGTTTTAAACTAAATTGTAGTGTGTGCTTCCTGCTCGTTATTTCGATGGGATAATTATTTATTTGCAAGTTTCGTAAGACCATTCCAAGCCAAAACAAATTAATTTTGGTCAAAATTTGATTTTCTTGGATAAAGAATTAATGTCTATCAAAAGTTCGATTATTGAAAAAATAACATTTATTTTTATTAAAAAGAAAAATTAAATAATAATTTTTTTATAAAAATATTGCAATAATCTATGCTTGATATTAGATCAGAACCAGCAAAAGCTACTAGTTTTGCTATTTTTCAATTTTTTTGGCTTTATAAATATGAATTACAATTTTGGAATTTTTATCTATTTACAATTCTCAAGAAAAAATTAGATTCCGACCAAAAAATTTAATTCCGACCAAAAAGCTTTATCCCGACCAAAATTTTTAATTTCGACCAAAATTTTAAATTTGACTGTAATTTCAACCATTGCAACGGTGACGTTGTTTAAATAACATTTTCAATTTATTACAATGATGTAACTTGTGTCGGCAACGTTTTAATTCCGACCAAAAAAACCAATTCCGAACCAAATTTTAATTTTAAAATTTCGTATGGAAATATTAATCAAAAATTTTATTCCGACCAATAATTTAAATTTCGACCAAAATTTTTAATTTGATTGAAATTCCAACCATTGCAGAGGTGACCTTGTTTTAAAAAAAGACAATTTACAACGAAATTGATTACAACGATGCAATTTGTGTGGGCAACGTTGTAATTCCGACCAAAATTTTAAATGTCGACCAAAATTTTAAATGTCGACCAAAAAATCAATTCCGACCAAAAATTGAATTTTGATTCTAGTACAATTCCGACCAAATTTCGAATCGCGATCAATATTTAAAATGCTATCAAAATTACGTTTTACAAAATTTTATGGAAAATCAATCGAATTAATCCAAAATTTGATTCCGACCAACAATTTTTCATTTCGACAAAAAAATTTTAATTTGTTTGTATTTTCAACTATTGCAAAGATCACCTTGTTTTACAACATGTTGCAACGAAATTGATTCTAATACAACATTCAAAGTGCCGGCAACATTTCAATTCCGACCAAAATTTGAATCGCGATCAATTTTTTAAATGCTACCAAAATTTAATGGAAATCAATCAAGTTAATCCAAAATTTGATTCCGACCATAAATTTTAATTTTGATCTAAATTTACAATTTCGACCAAAAATTTTAATTTGACAGGAATTTCAGCTATTGCAAAGGTAACCTTGTTTTACAACATTTTGCAACGAAATTGATTCTAATACAACCAAAAAAATTAATTTGGACCAAAATTTTAATTTCCACCAAATTCTTAAATGCTTATAAATACAATATATCGTGGAAAATGTTTCTAATTCTAAATACAAAGTTTGGCCAATATTTTAAATTCCACCAAAAATTTATTACTTCTTATTATTTTTTCCAAAATTCTAACATGGAACAGGTCGTGTTTAAATTCGACAAAAATTTTAAATGAGATTAATTAATTTTTTTTTTCGAAAATGTTTCTAATCGAACCACAAATGGTGACCAATATTTCAATTTTGACCAAAATCTTAAATATTTCTTTTCGACCAAGTTGATCGAGAATTTGTGATTTGGTCCCTGAAAAATGTACCTCATTTCTCAAACTGTTCCTTTTTATTGCAAATAAATATTGACCCAGCAAAATTGCAAAAAAAAAAAAATCTCTTCAACCTTTGACTGGCCACATGCTTTTTGTGTGGAGAGAAGATTTTTCGTTTGCAATTTCCGGACAGCGCGCTCACACACACAGTTTAACAGTCGACAAGAACATTTACAAATCTGGAAATAGAAAACCAACTGGCCATCGACTGCACTTCTTAGGAATCTGCATAGAGTATAACATCATCGATCTGAACCGTTTCATTGCTGCCACCCGAATGATTCGAACCCGAATCATTGGGCAATGCGGTCGCACCACGCAAATCCAATTCAATGTCTTCACTGGCGGCGGGTCGTTGTGACAACGCTGCTGTGGCTACTGGAATACCTGTGGACGGAGCTGTGTACTGGGGCGGTGCTACGAAATGCATGTTACGGGGCTTGGCAATGGGATTGAAGTTATTTTTGTCTTGTAAATTCTGGACTATGCGTTGCACATTCGAGAGGTTTGCGGTGGAAGATGAGGATGAGGGGGTGGGTGAGGAGATTGGTCCGGCTGTTGTTCTCTGTTGTGTATTGTGTTGTGACAAGACATCTGGCAGTTGTCGTTGCTGGTGGCTGTACTGGGTGGAACGCATAGGCGTGGCATATAGCCGATAGGGACTCTGATATGAGCCCACACCAGCCATAGGCCGATTAAGGGGTTGTGTTACTGCATAGGCGGTGGTTGGATTCGAGTCTGAAACGGAAATGGAATGCAATTCATTATTTTCTAGTTTTGTTTTTTTTTTTTTTCAAGCGATAAAACTGGAAATTGGGTTATTAGTGGCAATAATGGTAATAGTTTTGGTGGGGATTTTGTTAGGATTTCGGAATATTATAGAATTAGTTGTTAAGGAAATGTAGGGGTTATCTGGTTTCTATGGAATTTTTGTTAGAAATAATTTAAAAAATCGTCGTTTGGGAATTTTTGGGGATTTTCGGATAGGTTTGGGAATTTCGATAACATTTCCAACTGTTTGACACACCTAGAAATTTGGATTTATTCATTGATACGTTAAATTTCAATTTAAAAAAAAAAAATAAAAATTTCGCCCAAAATTCTAAATTCGAACAAACTATGAATTTTAATTCCGACAAAACTACAAATTCGGCTAAAGTTCTCTAAAATTTATATATATTTTAGTTGGAATTTTTGTTGGGGGTACCCTAGTTATTTTGTTGTCAAAATTAATAATTTTGACCAACAATTCTAATTTCGACCTAAATCATTCCGACCAAAATTTCAAATAATAAACGGCCAAGAAGTATAATGTTTCAAATTAGTATTTATGCTCGTTCAAAAACTAGATTTCCAAAGCAAAAAAATTAATTCCGACCAAAGTATCCACTTCGACCAAAAGTTCCGACCAAATTTCAATAGGTATATTTTGGTCAAGAAATTTACTTTGGTCAAAAATATTAACAAAACAAAAAAAATATAAAAATTTCGATCAAAATGTTTAGTCCTACCAAGATGATCATTTCGACCAAAATATTTACTTCTACTTCGAAATGTATAATCTTCATATGTTTGGTAACAAAAATTTTGATTTCGATCAAAATTTTAATTCCGACCAAAATGTTTTTTTTTACCAAAATACTCACTGTGATTAAAATTTAATTTAATCTCGGTTCCAAGGACATAACTTTTTAATTTTATTCGGCAAAAATTAAAGTTTTGTACAAAATCTTAGTTTCGACCAAAATTGAAGTTCTTACCAAAATTGAAGTTCTTACCAAAATTGAAGTTCGTACCAAAATATATATTGCGACCAAAACTGTTAATTTCGACCAAAATTTAAGTTCTACCAAAAAGTCCTTTCAAAATTGCAATTAATTTCGATCAAAAAGCATAATCTCTCATAAGTTTGGAAGAATTCTAACAAATTGTTTTTTTCGACCAAAATTTTAAATCCTACCAAAATGAACATTCGGATTAAAATTGTTTTTATCAAAAAGTCCAGCAATTTATTTCGTTTCAAATGCCTAAACTTTCATATGTTTGCCAAAGAAAAAATTAATTTCGAATAAAATTTTAATTCCGACCAAATTTTTTATTCCGACCGTATCATTGTGATAAAAAAATTAAATCGACCGAAATTAGATTACAAAAACACAACCTCTTAAACATTTTTGATTATATTCGGCAAAATTCAAAATTTGGAACAAAATCTTAATTTCGACCAAAATTGTAATTCCAACCAAAATATCTATTGCGACCAAAATTGTGTCTTATTTCGATCAAGAGGCATATTCTCGTATAAGTTTGGTAAAAATAGTATGATTTTAACAAAACTGTTAATTTCGACCAAAATTTTAAGTTCTACCAAAAAGTCGATTCCTTTCAAAATTGCAGTTAATTTCGATCAAAAGGCATAACCTCTCAATTCCGATCAAAAGGCATAATATCGCATACGTTAGGTAAAAAATATAGTTTCATTAGAAATGTTAATTTCGACCTAAATTTTTTGATCCTACCAAAATTGTAATTTCTACCAAAAAGTCTATGACTTCCAAAGTTGCAATTGATTTCGCTCAAAATGCATAATCTATCATAAATATGTACAAACAATAGAATTTGGACAAAAGAAAACCTCGAACATAACCTCAATTCCGAACAAAATTACCATTTGGACCACAATTTAAATTAACCTCTATAAAAAAAACCATAATATCTAACAGCCTAACAATGTTAAATAGGTTCTTTAAGAAAACATAAACATTTAATTTCAACCAAAATAACCACTTCGAAAATTTTGAACCAAATTTCCATAAACAAAGTATTTAAATAAATATTTTTTAATAAAAATTTTGACGAAAAAATTAATTCCGACCAAAAATGCAAATTCCGGCCAAAATAATAATTTCGACCACAATTTCCAAAAAATTTAGGAACAAAGGTCGTAATTTCTAGATTTTAAATGTCGTCGTTCAAACATGAAATTTTCACAGAAATTTTAGGTAAGAAATAAATTTAATTCCGACCGAAAAAAAAGGAAATTTATTTAACAATGTTAAATAGGTTCTTTAAGAAAACATAAACATTTAATTTCAACCAAAACAACCACTTCGAAAATTTTGAACCAAATTTCCATAAACAAAGTATTTAAATAAATATTTTTTAATAAAAATTTTGACGAAAAAATTAATTCCGACCAAAAATGCAAATTCCGGCCAAAATAATAATTTCGACCACAATTTCCAAAAAATTTAGGAACAAAGGTCGTAATTTCTAGATTTTAAATCTCGTCGTTCAAACATGAAATTTTCACAGACATTTAAAGTTAGAAATAATTTGAATTCCGGCCAAAAAAAGGAAATTTCGTCTGAAACTAACGACTAAATTTCGAACTTTGACATTATTCAACTATGTTTCAAGAAAAAAAAAATAAAATTTAGACAACAAAAATTTTAATTTCGACCAAAAATATTAATTCCGACCAAAAATTTAAAACAAAAAAAAAAACAAATAAATAAATAAATAAATAAATAAATAAATAAAATAAGAGACATAGGTCATAATTTTTCAAACCTCATCGTTCAAAAAAGGAATTTTCACAGAATTTTTAAGTTAGAAAAAATGTTAATTTTTACCAAAAAAAGTGATAATTTCGTCTGAAACTTTCGATCAAAGTTGTGTCTAACTTTATTAAATAAATATGTTTTAGTAAAAAATATAAATATGCACAAAATATTATTTTCGACCAAAAATTTTTCATTCCGACCAAAATAATAATTTTGACCAATATCCAAAAAAAAAAAAAAAGAACAGGAACAACAAATCTTTCAGATCCCTCCATTCACGAAGAGAATTGACATAAAAATTTTATGTTGGGAAAAAAATTAATTTCCGAACAAATTCGTAATCCCTTTTTTGATGGTTTAATTCCGACCAAAAATAGTGATAATTTCGTCTGAAACTTTCGATCAAACTTCTGTCTAAGATTATTAAATATAAATATGCAAAAAATATTATTTTCGACCAAAAATTTTTCATTCCGACCAAATAATTTTGACCAAAATCAAAAAAAAAAAAGGACAGAGACAACAAATCTTTCAGATTCCTCCATTCAAGAATTGTCATAAAAATTTTATGTTGGGAAAAAAATAAATTTCCGAACAAATTCGTAATTCTTCTTTTGATGGTTTAATTCCGACCAAAAAAAGTGATAATTTCGTCTGAAACTTTCGACCAAATTTTTGTCTAACATTATTAAATAAATATGTCTTAGTAAAAAATATAAAAATGCAAAAAAAAAATTATTTTCGACCAAAATTTTTCCGACCAAAATAATAATTTTGACCAAAATCCAAAAAAAAGGACAGAGACAACAAATCTTTCAGATCCCTCCATTCAAGGAGAGAATTGTCATAAAAATTTTATGTTGGGATAAAAATTAATTTCCGAACAAATTCGAAATTGGTTTAATTCCGACCAAAAAAGTGATAATTTCGTCTGAAACTTTCGACCGAAATTCTGTCAAACATTATTAAATAAATATGTCTGTGAAAAATATAATTATGCAAAAATATTATTTTCGACCAAAAATTTTCATTCCGACCAAAATAATAATTTTGACCAAAATCCAAAAAAAAAAAAGAACTGGAACAACAAATCTTTTAAATTCCTCCGAATTCAAGAATAGAATTTTCATAGAAATTTTAGGTTGAGAAAAAATTAATTTCCTGCCAAATTATTTTCGACCAAAAATTTTCATTCCGACCAAAATAATAATTTTGACCAAAATCCAAAAAAAAAAGAACAGGAACAACAAATCTTTTAAATCCCTCCGTTTAAGAATAGAATTTTCATAGAAATTTTAGGTTGAGAAAAAATTAATTTCCTACCAAATTATTTTCGACCAAAAATTTTCATTCCGACCAAAATAATAATTTTGACCAAAATAAAAAAAGAACAAATCTTTCAAATCCCTCCGTTCAAGAACATAATTTTCATAGAAATTTTAAATTGGAAAAAAAATAATTTCCGACCAAATTTGTAATACCTCTTTTTATGGGATTTAACATTTAACATTCCAACATTCCATAGTTCGACTCTACTCAAGACTGTCTGGGTTTAGAACTACAAATCTACAAAGGCCGTGGAATATGGAAAGTTTCATTAACATTTTTAATTCATTTGCAAAATGTGAGGAAAAAGAGAGAGAGAGTCGATTGCTATAACTCTCCCCCTTTCCTCTCTACTTAAAAATGCATTTTTTTAATGAAACACTCAGGTTCCGACGATCGACAAACTACACTACTCTATGTTTAAACTACAAGTTTTTTCATGAACATACTACGATTACGCTACGATAAATGTGCTTGAAAGCTCGATGATCTATGAAAAACGGAAACATTTAACTTACTTCTCCTTCTAATGTGTTCTTGACTACATTTATGTGGGTGTGTGAGTGAGTGTAAAATAACATTTTTTCTTTTTGGAGGAAGGATGTTGGGATGAGGAGGACTCTTGATTCTTTGGGATAGGGGGAAGCGGCGTTTATTTGGTTTGCCCTTCAAACTTGTGTTGCATAACATCCTCTCAGTGTTCTTGTTGTTGTTGTTGTGACTATTGGGGGTCTAAATGTATTACCTCTCTCGTTAACGGGTTCCGTATAGACGTCCATCGACTCTAAATGGCCATCGGCCGGTGAGGCATATTCATTGGGCAGCAGCGGCTGTTGGACACAACTAGGCTCAGCGTAGATGTGTTCCGGTCCAGTGGCACCTGCCGCACTGCCCATCATGGGATTCCCCTGCAAATTATCAAACGTATTGGCCGCATAGAAATCGCCCTCGGTTAAACCTGGCTCGGAATAAATTGGCGTTTGATCGGCCGGTGGTGCCGATGGCAGTGGCGATTGCAGATGTTCCGTCAGTACACGATTCAGTGCCATAAAATCAGTACCGGGATTTTGCACCTTATTCAAGAGATTGACAATCTGACTTGTGGTCTTGACACATTTCGTCTCCGACAAATCGGCCACAAACATTATTTGAATCTTTTCATGGATTTTCTTGTAAATCTCCGGATATTTCTTCTGGATCAGCTGCAGGCTTTGTTGGATAGTCAAACGATCATCGGAGGAAAATTCATGGACATGGCTGCGACCTTGATTTGCATCACCGCCTGCACCACCACCTCCTCGTGACATTTTCAAGGATCGACGGCGACAGCGACAGATCATGATGATGATGGCAGTGAATATGACAATTGAAATGACTGTGGCGCTAACCACAATAGCTATGAGCTCCGGCAGGCGATTATTCTTGGCCGCCAGCTCTTCGGCCGTAAAGAAACGTCCTTCGATTTTCCTTAAATTCTTTTTGTTTTTGCAATCCAAAATGGTTTTGCTGTCGTCGCACACCTCGCTGTAGTACTGCAGGAAGTTCAGCATGGTGGCATTGAAACAATTGCCCAGCTTCTCGTCAATGGTGCAAAAGACCTGGGACTTTAAATCGTGATCCGACAAACGTTCCAGCCAATGGAAGTCGCAACGACACGGCTTGTTCAGCGAGATGTCGTAGACGTTGCAATGGGGATTGGTGAAGTTGAGACTACCATCCTGGGGACTGGTCAGTGAGTTTTCGCCAAAGGTACACTTCTCACTGCTGCGACTCTTCTCCAACTGTATGTGACCGAAAATGCCGAACTGATTGCGTTCCACCTTGATGCGTGTCCAGTCCTTGACATGCAGCCAATTGCTGCCCAGGTGTTTGATGTGATTATCGGTGATGGTCACGTAGATCGATGTCACGTAAATTGCGTTCTCGTAAATGTAATCAATTCTGAGGGCAAAAAAAAAAGAGAACAAGGTTAATTTTTTTACAATAAACTTGGAGGTTATGTTCGGGGGACTACTTACTTGTTGTTGCTAATTTTCAATTCCTTTATGCCACTGCCATAAATTGCATCTCTTTCGATAATGCCAATGGTGGCACCCGTTATCGAGACATGTTCGCTTAAGAGCTGCAAAAAAAGGGAAGGCGAGGGTAAAAAACTTTGAGCAACAAAATACGATTTTTTTATAAAAAATACTTTTTTCCATGGAAAAAGACCTTCAGAAGGTCTTCTAGATAAAGAGGAGCTCCAGAAGGTCTTCTAGCCATAGAAGAGTTTCAGAAGGTCTTGTAGCTAAATAAGAACTTATGATGGTCTTTTGGCCATAAAAGAGCTTCAGAAGGTCTTCTAGGAGAGCTTCTGAAGGATTTCCAGCAATAGAAAAGCCCTTGAAGGTCTTCTAGCTTCTAGCCACAGAAGTTCTTTCAGCCATAAAAGAACTTCTGAAGGCCTTCTGGCCATAGAGGAGCTTCTGAAGGTTTTCTAGCAATAGAAAAGCTTCAGAAGGTCTTCTAGCAACCGAAAAGCTTAAAAAGGTCTTTTTACCAAAGAATGGCTTTGGAAGGTCTTGTGACCATAGAAGAGCTTCAGATAGTCTTCTAGTTATTAGAAAGCTTCAGAAGGTCTTCTAGTTATATGAGAGCTTCAGACGGTCTTCTAGCCTTAGAAGAGTTTCAGAATGTCTTTTAGTTATAGAAAATCTCTTCTTCTTCTGTAAAAGAACTTCAAAAAGTCTTCTAGCCACAGAGGAGCTTCTGAAGGTCTTCTGGTCACAGAGAAGCTTCAGAAGATTTTCTAGCAATACAAGTTATAAAAGAACTGCAGAGGGTCGTATTTTCATAGAAGAGTTTCAGAAGGTCTTCTAACAATTGCAGATCTTCAAAATGTCTTCTATCCATAGAAGAGATTCAGAAGGTCTTCTGGCCACAGAAAAACTTCAGAAGGTCTTCTGGCCATAGAAGAACTTCAGAAGGTCTTCTTGTCATAGAAGAACTTCAGAAGGTCTTCTTGTCATAGAAGAGCTATTGAAGGAGCTTCAGAAGGTCTTCTGACCATAGAATTGCATCTTCTGGTGATAAAAGAGCCTCAGAAGGAAAAGAAAAGCTCCAGAAGGCCTACTGGCCATAGAAGAACTTCTGAAAGTTTTCTGGCCATAAAAGAGCTTCTTAAGGTTTTCTAGCCATAGAAGAGCTTTAGAAGGTCTTTTAGTCATAGAAGAGCTTTTCGCTATAGAAAACCCTCAGAAGGTCTTCTGGTCATAGAAGACCTTCAGAAGGTTTTATGGCCATAGGAGAGCTTCAAAAGATTATCTTGCCATAGAAAAACTTATGAAGGTCTCCCGGCCACAGAATAGTTTCTGAAGGTCTTGCGGTCAAAGAAGAGCTTCTAAAGGTCTGTTATCTATAAAAGAGCGTCTGAAGGTTTTCTGACTTTGGCAAAATCTTCCATAGGCCTCAATCTCCAAATTCGAACTCAATGTCGCCCGTCGTTTACCACTTACCTTCTCGGTTATGGCTCTCGATTTGATGGCATCGATGCGACAGGATTCAAATATTATCGAATTAATTTGATTGACATCAAAGGCACCCGGATTAATGGTGCCAATGCTGCACTTGACGAATTTAATTTCACGTATTGAAGCATCAAAGCGATACAGATTATCGATGTGGGAAGACTCAATGTGCAGCTGAAAGAGAGAAAGAGGAGGAAATATTTAATTTAAATATTCTAAAAAAAATCACTCAAAACTTACCTTCGCCTGGGCGGAGCTGAAGGCCTTTTCCGCAATCCGCAAATCTTTGATGCCCACAAAAGTGCCACGGATTTGAGTGTTTTCAAATGCATTCTCAAATAACAAAACATTGTTGCTATTTGTAACATTTAGTTTGCAGCTTTCTGAAATTCGGAAAAATTAAAAACAAAAATATTTTAAAAAATTTTGAAGAAAAATAATTAAAAAAATAAATAAAGGCAGGAGTATTGGAATTTGCAAGCAAATTTTAGTTCTTTTTAATCTCCCCACATATAGAAGATCGATTAGTAGATCGCCTTCTAGAGGTCTTCCATAGGCAGCATAACTTTTACCGGCCTTGTACAGACATAAAATAACCCCCCTTCTGGGGGTATCGTGTACACAGAAGACCTTCTGGCGATTTTCTGAACCTAGAAGAAATTTCAAAAGTCTCCTACAGATACAGGCAGACCTTCCAAAGTCTCTCTCATACATAATATTCTATCTATTTTATATTTGTGTATATTAATTTTTCTCCTCCCTTCCCCCTCGTCACTTACCCGAAGCCTTTTGTCGAAATGCCCTCTGCAGTATGACAATGGTAAATACATTGCTAAATACGATCTCTGGGAATGGTCCATTGTTGCCACGAAATGCATCCGTTCCGATTTCCACCTTCTCCGGTTCCTCCATATTGCCCTCAACAATGAAACGATTAATGGTGTCGTTGTGAAAGAATCCCTCGCGCAGATTAAACTGCGTTCTTGGCCCGAGTTTGACCACCAATATCTTGGCCAATTCGGGCATTTTAAATGTCTTGTCGAAGGTGGAGCTTAACTGTAAAGAGAATAACGAGAAAAAAAGGGAATTAATAAAATATAAGGGGTAGAATAATAAAAGAGGAGATTGGCATTTGTTTTTCGGAAAACTTCTGAAAATAAACAATTGTCCATTAAAAAACGGGAAAAACATTTCAAAACAATTTATTTCCACTTTTTTTAAGAGATAACTTATCAATCACTGTCTATCTATCAGTACGTCAGACAGACAGTTGTGTTATACAAATTTCCCGCTAATCAAATGTCGGAAAAGCCATAGATTTTATTTTAGATTTTGAAACATGGAATCATAAAATTTCGAGGTGAAATTTAGATGTTCATCTGAATCAAAAAATTGTGGTCGAGGTTGTCGATAAATCACAGACTTCATGAAGGTCTAACAGCTTCTTGTTGTACAAACATTCAATTATATATAGCTTTTCATAGGAGCCTAACTGTAAAGAAGCTTATTTCGCATTCTTTGAGCGTTTTGTTTTTCAAAATCTGCAACCTATGTGGGGGAGGTACCAGAAGAAATGGTCCGATTTCTACCATCTTTATAACAGATCTTGTCTTAATGGAAATATTGAGATGTACCAAGTCCAAGTGGAATCGGATGCTAATTTGGCGTTTTATGAGCTTCATGGATATTCAAAATTTTGAACATTTTCTGGGGGAGGTACCAGAAGGAGTGAACCGATACATTCCATTTTCAGAGCAAATCTTGTGTTAGTAAAAATAATGGCATATTTAAAATTTGAAGAGAACCGGATGCTTATTTAGGATTTTATGCTCGTTTTAGTTATTGAAAATTTTGAACCTTTGTGGGAAAGGTACCACAAGGAATTGTCCGATCTCTACCATCTTTATAACAGATCTTGTGTTAATGGAAATATTGAGATTTGCCAAGTCTGAATGGAATCGAACGTTTATTTCGCGTTTTATGCTCTTCATGGATACTCAAAATTGTTAACCTTTGTGGGGGAGGTACCAGAAGGAGTGGACCGATATATCTCATCTTCACAACAGATCTAGTGTTAGTTGAAATAATGAGATGTGCGCAATATGAAGAGAACCGGATGCTTATTTAGGATTTTATGCTCGTTTTAGTTATTCAAAATGTTGAACCTTTGTGGGGAAGGTACCACAAGGAATTGTCCGATCTCTACCATATTTATAACAGATCTTGTGTTAATGGAAATATTGAGAGGTACCAAGTTTGAATGGAATCGGATGTTAATTTCGCGTTTTATGCTCTTCATGGATATTCAAAATTTTGAACCTTTGTGGGGGAGGTACCAGAAGGAGTGGACCGATATATCTCATCTTCGCAGCATATCTTGTGTTAGTAGAAATAATGAGATGTGTGCGATATGAAGAGGGCCGGATGCTTATTTAGGATTTTATGCCCGTTTTGGGTTATTCAAAATTTGGACCCTTTGTGGGGGCGGTACCATAAGGAATCAGCCGATATCAACCATCTTTATAACAAATCTTTTGTTGATATAAATATTGAGATGTACCAAGTCTGAATGGAATCGGATATTCATTTCGTGTTTCACAGCTTCATGAATATTCCAAATTTTTACTCTTTGTGGAGGAGGAAGGAGAAGAAGTGGACGGATATATCCCGTAATAAAAATAAAAATATTGTGATGTGTGTAATTTGAAGACTATCGAACTCTTCCATTACATTTTATAAGAGTTATAATTTGATCAAATTTTGACCGCTTGGGGTGATGTACTTGATGGAGTGAACCGATATTGTCCATTTTCGCCCCTGACCTGGAACTGATGCAAATATTAGGATTTGCAAAGTTGGAGCAAAATCGGATTATTCTTTCTCTCTCTGTGCTGAAAAATATTTTTCGGAAATTTGAGGGTGTGGTGCCAGAAGGAGTGAACCGATATTGCCCATCTCCGAACTCGATCTAAGTTTGACAATAATATTACAATATACCAACTTTGGATCAAATCGAATACTCCCTTGGAGAGTTATCGTGTGCCCCAGCCAGCCAGACAGACAGACAAACAGACGGACATGGATAGATCGACTCCAAATGTTCTGAAACGGATTTAGTCCAAAGAGACCTAGGGTATAAAATCGTTATTTCGACTAGTCACGTTTTGGCCGTAACAAATGATTTATACCCTCTCTAGACATATGGCTGAGGTATAATAACAAGAGTAATAATAATAATAATATAATAATAATAATAATATAATAATAATAATAATAATAATAATAATAATAATGATAATAATAATAATAATAATATAATAATAATAATAATAATAATAATAATAATAATAATAATAATAATATAATAATAATAATAATAATAATAATAATAATATAATCAATAATAAATAATAATAATAATAATAATAATAATAATAATAATAATAATATAATAATAATAATAATAATAAGAATAATATAATAATAATAATAATAATAATAATAATAATAATAATAATAATAATAATAATAATAATAATAATAATATAATAATAATATAATATAATAATAATAATATAATAATAATAATAATAATAATAATAATAATAATAATAATAATAATAATAATAATAATATAATAATAATAATAATAATAATAATAATAATATAATAATAATAATAATAATAATAATAATAATAATAATAATAATAATAATAATAGAATAATATAATAATAATAATAATAATAATAATAATAATAATAATAATAATAATAATAATAATAATAATAATAATAATAATAATAATAATAATAATAATAATAATAATAATAATAATAATAATAATAATAATAATAATAATAATAATAATAATAATAATAATATATAATAATAATAATAATAATAATAATAATAATAATAATAATAATAATAATAATAATAATAATATAATAATAATAATAATAATAATAATAATATAATAATAATAATAATAATAATAATAATAATAATAATAATAATAATAATAATAATAATAATAATATAATAATAATAATAATAATAATAATAATAATATAATAATAATAATAATAATAATAATAATAATAATAATAATAATAATAATAATAATAATAATATAATAATAATAATAATAATAATAATAATAATAATAATAATAATATAATAATAATAATAATAATAATAATAATAATAATAATAATAATAATAATAATAATAATAATAATAATAATAATAATAATAATAATAATAATAATAATAATAATAATATAATAATAATAATAATAATAATAATAATAATAATAATAATAATAATAATAATAATAATAATAATAATAATAATAATAATAATAATAATAATAATATAATAATAATAATAATAATAATAATATAATAATAATATAATAATAATAATAATAATATAATAATAATAATAATAATAATAATAATAATAATAATAATAATAATAATAATAATATAATATAATAAATAATAATAATAATAATAATAATAATAATAATAATAATAATAATAATATATAATAATATAATAATAATAATAATATAATAATAATATAATAATAATAATAATATAATAATAATAATAATATAATAATAATAATAATAATAATAATAATAATAATAATAATAATAATAATAATAATAATAATAATATAATAATAATAATATAATAATAATAATATAATAATAATAATAATAATAATAATAATAAACTTCTTGAAATCGGAATTATTCTTACATGAGGGCTATACCAAAAAGTGGACCAACACGACCTATTTTCTGTAACAATGATTTTGGATGTAATCCAAAAATCCCTATCAAATTTAAAAGCTCTATCCTAAATGTTGCGAAATATATCTCAAACTGTAGGTATCCTGCTGTATATGTTAAGGGCTAAACAAAGTTTGGCCGAAGAAACCGAAACTTTCTTGGGGATTTTTGGGAGTACTATCTACTCCATATGGATTTTTTCACAACTCGTACTCGCTATTGTTCAGTAAAAATTAAGAGAAAATCTGCAGCAAATTGGGAAACAAATGCTATAATTTTTTCAAAAATTAACAAAAAATCAATGATTTTTTTATATTAAAAATTGAATCTATGCATTTCTTTTGTTCAAGGACTCCTATGAAATTTGATCCAGAATATTTCTTCCTTTGACATTTCGCCTAAAAAATGAAGTATAAAAGGAGATTTCGACCAGATATGAAACGTGTTAAATTCACAGCAAAAAAACAAGCAAATAATTTTCACTTGTAGTGAAAAATATCGAATGTAAATTTTCATAGAAACTATTACACCTAGGTATATAATCTATTCTGCGATTTATGTTGAAATTTTATGTAGAATATTTCATCTTTTGCCACCTTCTGCTTTAAATTAAATTTTATGATACTTTCAAGCGTAAACTTGAAAAGAGGCTGAAGAAAAACTAGTCAAAAAATTAGGATATATTTTCGCGTATTTTTTGGGAATTTTGATGCAAATATTTTTTTAATATCCAATGGAAATAGAGATCTCTTTTCTTTGGTGACTTATAGTGAAATTTGATGAAGAATATTTTTGTCTCTGACGTTATTCTTCTAAAATGATGGTTTGCAGGAGATTTTTGCCTAAACTCACACAAAGTACGGCTATAACCATGAAATGTTTCTTTAAAGCTTTTGACGTCTTCAAGAACCTATGGTAGAATTGTATGACAAATAATTTTGTAGAATATTTTGATTTGTTACGATCCGGTTTCAAGGGAGTATTCTACGAATTTTTTTTGAAAAAAGGACTAAAACTACCCCTAGTGACTTGCTTTAGGATTTTAGTTCTATATTCAATATCTGCTGAATATTACAGCTTTAGAAAAAAATTATTTTTTTAAATCGTCTTTTTTTTTTGTTAATAATGCCTTACAAGATTTGTCCGTGTAGAAGACATCTATTTTAATGCCCTTTTCATTATCCGAATAAAACAACAAAAAATTAGCTCCCAAAATATTTAATATTTTTTCGGGCCATGCTTTTGTTTT